GTCTTGTGGATGAGACACTGTAAACTGGTGAGCTCCCATGGCACAGGGACCAAGTGTGCAATAACAATCACAGAATAGACCAAATACCCTAATTGGAGGTATTTGCGCCCTGGCCTTCCAGGTTTCCCAGGCTCCTCCTATGTTTCTATGTCATCACTGTGGAAGAAGGCAGATGTTTCCCTTCTCCCCTTCCTCCAGGTTTCCTACCAATTTTTTTTTTTTTTTTTTTTGAGATGGAGTCTCGCTCTGTCACCCAGGCTGGGGTACAGTGGCCGGATCTCAGCTCACTGCAAGCTCCGCCTCCCGGGTTTACGCCATTCTCCTGCCTCAGCCTCCCGAGTAGCTGGGACTACAGGCGCCCGCCACCTCGCCCGGCTAGTTTTTTGCACTTTTTAGTAGAGACGGGGTTTCACCATGTTAGCCAGGATGGTCTCGATCTCCTGACCTCGTGATCCGCCCGTCTTGGCCTCCCAAAGTGCTGGGATTACAGGCTTGAGCCACCGTGCCCGGTGTTTCCTACCATTTTTTCAGGCCCCAAACCTTGCTAGAATCCACCAAGCTCACTGGCTCATAGGCAGTCAGTTTCTCTGGGGCTTATGTGTTTCCTCTCCAGGGAGGTATGAGGGCTCTTACTTGGCACTCATCCCCAAAGGAGCTGGCTGAGGCTCTCTTGCTCATCCTGGGTGATGGTTCAACACGGAAACATAGCCACATCCCATGGGGATTCTGTCTCTCCCTATACCAGCACTTACCAAACTGTATCATGGTGGAGAAGTGTGCCTGCCCTGCTTGGGTGGGAGGCTCCTAGACCCAGGGTCAGGTCTAATCCACCTCTATAAGCTCAGAGCCAAGCCCAGGGCCCCCTTTAGCAAGGGTCAGCTGAATGAAGTCTCTGACACCACAGACAGGAAAGAGCAGGCCTGGGAAATGAGTTCAATTACATCAGACTGGGATGCTCATGTAGGGAAAATAAAAAGAAAACAGCAAGAAGGTACTAAGTGAGCCATGGCGTCACACACAGGTTTTCATTTTACCCCCCATTGGCTATGACTAAAATTATAAGCAAAAAAGACACCTACACCACATCCTGGCTCCAGCTCAGAAACGATTTTGGGAAAGACAGTGCAGTGGAGTGGAAAGAACAGGGGATCTGAAAGCAGGTCCTCACTTTGAGCTCTGGTCAAAGAAACTTAGGTTCTCCAATCAGCCTCAGCAGAATCACTCTGATCTCTCAGGGTCATTGTGAGCACCAAAAATGTATGCAAAATGCTTTAAAAATAATACTAGTGCTATATAAATTTTCTCTGTAATCATAACCATGAGAAAGATAAAACAACAAAAATCTGTCAGGGGCTCCAAGCATCCCAGGACTGTCTCAGCCTCAGGGTGGGTGTCTGGGGTGTGGAGGCAGGGGGCTGACAAAGTCAGAGGTCTCTCCCTCCTCATGCAGAAGAACCTAGCAGGGTGTCTAATCTTTTGTCTTCCCTGGGCCACACATAAGATACACTAACACTAACAATAGCTGATGAGCTAAAAAAAAGTCTGTGCATACGTCTCCTAATGTTTAAGAAAGTCTACAAATTTGTGTTAGACCACATTCAAAGCCAGCCTGGGCTGCAAGTGGCACACAGACCACAGGTTGGACAAGCTTGAAAGCATAAGCCAAATGCCATGGCCATCCACATTAGCATACATGGCTCCTCCCACAGAGTTTCCACAAGCTTCCATAGTCCCGCTGAACAGGAGATTTGACACCAGGATGAAAGAGCATGGGGTTTCAGAGTGCTTCTCCTAGGAGGGAAAGATCCACCCACATACCATAGGGCTGGAAGGGAATACCTACAGGCACAAAGTCTGGGTGTATCTGTGGTATCCACCAGAGACAAGGGAATGGAGACGGTCTTAAATTCTAAAATGCTGGGGGCAAACATGTGTGCACACATGCTGCACCTTCGCTTGAGTGGGCAAGGTCGACATCAACTTTCTCTAACCAGGCAGGCAGCCTCTGGGCTCAAGGACTGTAAACAAACCCAGTCTGTCTGGGGTGCTGGGGATTCTGCTTATCCAAAATTGTGGGTCCCAGATGGCCTGGGCCACCACGCACCATCACAAAGGAGCAGTTGTCAGCATGCATTTCTGAGGCAGGAACAGGCAACTCTACAGGCATCCTCACTTTAGTTCATCTGAATCAGCAGCTCTTGCTTTGCCCAAGCTGATTTGTTTACTAGCACACAAGAATACCTCCCTTGGATCATCCTGGGGAGAGGCAAGGAGGAGGCGGTGAGGAAAATGCCAGGCGGTGGTGGCAGCTGAGGGCTCAGGGAGAGGAGAGAAAAGAATCACTGTGGTCACCCAAAAGTTCTTTTCTATAATACAAAGTTAACACCTCCCCGTTCCGGTCCAGCCTTTATAAACCCAGCACATCCCTAACTCCATACACATTCTTCTATTAGCAATAGCTTACACTTGTTGAGGTAGGTGACTCACACAGTTACTCATACTTAATCCCCACAACAAACTACAAAGAAACAACCCTTTTTACAGAGGAGAAAGCTAAGGCTCAGAAAGATGTAGCACCTGGCTAAAGGTCCACAGTGTAGCAAGTGACACAGCTGAACTTCCAACACTAACCACTCCAACTTCAAGGCCAAGGAGTCTGCTCCACCACACTGGGCTATCCTGAGAAACCACATAAGCAAGCTGAGCTTTTCTTTTTTTTAAAAAAAATCTGAGTGATGGTTAGAAAACAGCTGGCTCCTGAGCCCAAGAGTGGCAAGAAAAGACCAAACTGAAGCCTCTATCTCAGGCACAGGAGGCAAGCCTTGAATTAGATCTCAGAAGCAAGCTGACCCACAGACAGAAACCCCGGAGGAGCTAGCAATCACCACAGGCCCCTGCACAGGCTCCTGAGCCCTTGCACTCAAGTAGGCGGCAACCAGTTGAGGAGGTTTGCGGATCTCTCTCTCTCAGACAGAAAAACATACGTACAACTACATAAAGTTACATGTGTCATCCCCAGACTGGAGTTCCTATGGAAAGAGCCCTGTCTGGACTTGCAGCCAGAACTGCCGGGACCCAAACCTGTCTCTAGTGTTCACTGCTGTGTGACCTTGGAGCACTCACTTAACCCCTTTGAACCTTAATTTCTTTATCTGGGGAGGCCATCCCTGCAGCAATGCCGATTTCCAGGGGTGACTAGGAAGGTGAAAATAGATGACTGACGCTGCGGCAAGGGCAGGCCGAGGTGCCGCAGGCACAGCACACAGGTACCGGGGAGCTGACTTTGGAATCTGAGTGCTGGAGACTGGCCACTCTCGTCTGAAAGACAGGCAGCAAGGCCAGGCAGAAATTGCCCTTCAAATCTCTCACACACCCAGATGTCTCCACAGGCTCAGCCTGCAAGGATGACGTCCAACACCTGGAGTAGATTCATTCCTCTATAACCCCTCTCCACCCAAACACATACCCTCTGAAAAGGAAACCAAGTGATATTTTTGTATTTCTGTAATTTAGCATTTAAAGTTTCCTTGTATGCCAGTTGAGGTGGCTCACACCTGTAATCCCAACACTTTGGGAGGCTGAGTTGGGAGGATCACTTGAGCCCAGGAGTTTGAGACCAGCCTAGGCAACAAAGTGAGACTGTGTCTCTATAAGAAATTAAAAAAAATTAGCTGGGTGTGGTGGTGCATGCCTGTAGTCCCAGCTGCTCTGGAGGCTGAGGTGGGAGGACTGCTTGAGCCCAGGAGTCTGAGGCTGCAGTGAGCTATGAGCCTGCATGAAGAGTGAGACCTAGTCTCAAAATAAATAAACAAATAAAAATTTTTTGAGACAGGGTCTTACTTTGTCACATAGGCTGGAGTGCAGTGGTGCAACCTTGGCTCACTGCAGCCTTGCGCTCCTGGACTGAAGGGATCTTCTGCCCTCAGCCTCCTGAGCAGCTGGGACTGCAGGCGTGTGCCACCACACCCAGCTAATTAAAAAAAAAAAAAATTTTTTTTTGAAATGGAGTTTCACTCTTGTTGCCCAGGCTGGAGTGCAGTGGCACGATCTCAGTTCACCGCAACCTCCGCCTCCCAGGTTCAAGCGATTCTCTTGCCTCAGCCTCCTGAGTAGCTGGGATTATAGGCATGCGCCACCACCCCCAGCTAATTTTGTATTTTTAGTAGAGATGGGGTTTCTCCATGTTGGTCAGGCTGGTCTCGAACTCCTGACCTCAGGTGATCCGCCCGCCTCAGCCTCCTAAAGTGCTGGGAATACAGGTGTGAGTCACTGCGCCTGGCCTAATTTTTTAATTTTTTTGTAGAGACAGAGTCTCGCTTTGTTGCCCATGCTGGTCTTGAACTCCTAGGCTCCAGTGATCCTCTTGCCTTGGCCTCCCAAAGTGCTGGGATTACAGGTGTGAGTCACTGTGCCCAGCCAATAAAGTACAACTTCTGGCTAGATGTCTTCTCATCAGAAAAACTTAATAAAGAAACTTGAAAACAAAAAGAGAAAACTGACTACATGTAAGATGGGGAAATGGCTTTCTTTTTTGGTTGAATTCTGCAACTATCATAACCTTCAGAAATTTTAAAAGAAAGCCTTCATTTAAGGACAATCCCTTCATTTTAAGTCCCAGACATTCACAGAATGATTTTCTAAAGCTTTTTCTCATGGTACCCTTGTAATAAAGCTGTGAGGTAGGAAAAGCAGGAATCCCCTCCATTTTACGTATATTTTACGTATATAAAAACAAAGGCCCTGCCCAGGTCCTATGTCAAGTCCCGGGACAGGTGTCCTGAGCCCAAACCAAATGCTCTTTGCAATCTAGAGGGCTCACAGGGACCAGGAAGGAGATTCACAATGATCACTCTCTGCCCAGAGCAGGGGACATTTGGAATCCTGATGCTGACTTGGCTTCTGTTGGGGAAGTGTGTGCTACTCCAGGAGGCACGCATTGGCGGGGATGGAGGGAGGCAGGACAGTGGGAGAAGAGAGGAGGTGAGCCCCAGTGAGTGTACCTGCAGTGGTGGGCTCGGTCGGGCTTGATGCTGCAGCATTTGGGACACTTGTACACCACCTGCCCGGGCTTCAACTGTAAACTCTCGATGAATTCTTTAGTGGCATTTCCTTTGGGCACTGCCCCCTGTAGGAAAGATGAAAGGTATCAGGGTTGGGCTGGGGGTTCTATCAGCTCTAACATTCTACAGTGGGGATAATTATTTGAAAGCAGCAACCACACACACACACGGACAGGACACTTTGATACCAACAACATGTGGACTCTGTGTTCAGAATTATGCCAACATTAAGGAATATTTATTGACCAAAAATTTTTCTGAGGAAATGCCATTAGGCCACATTGATTCTTTGATTTCTTTTCTTCCTTTCTTTTTCTTTTTCTTTTTTTTTGAGACAGAGTCTTGCTCTGTCACCCAGGTTGGAGTGCAGTGGTGTGATCTCGGCTCACTGCAACCTCCGCCTCCCAGGTTCAAGCGATTCTCCTGCCTCAGCCTCTCGAGTACCTGGGATTACAGGCGCCAGCCACCACGCCCAGATAATTTTTTGTATTTTTAGTAGAGATGGGGTTTCACCACGTTGGTCAGGATGGTCTCAATCTCCTGACCCTGTGATCTGCCTGCCTCGGCCTCCCAAAGTGCTGGGATTACAGGCACAAGCCACCGCACCCAGCCAATTCTTTGATTAATTTTCTACACTAAACAGTGACATTGTTCCTGATTACTTTATATTTTCATTTTACTGAAATTATTTTCATTGAATCCATTCTCTCCTATATAACAGTGAAGATTTGGCTCACTAACTATTTTTTGGCCTATATTAAATTTCCTGAAACAGCTTCTCCCTTTCTAAGTTTCACTGGTGAGCATCATATCTAACAGTTTTCCAAGATCAAAATTTGCAGCTTCACATTTTAATGGGTTGTTTGCTGGGATTAAGTTTTATTTTACTTTTACCAGTGGTATTGTTATGAATAATTGGTAATCTATATTTGGTACTTAGTGAATTCACAAGCAACTGGGAGCCGCTGCCCTCAGGTATTTGACTTGCTGTCTGGCCAGAGCTGCTCTCTGATTTGGTCTTCCATCTGTGGAGTATGCTTGTGAATACTTAGTGCTCTTTAGAGCCAATGGCAGAGCCAAAATGCCGTAAGATTCTGCTCTGGCTGTGCACCCATCCAAACAGAAGGAAAGCAGGCAGTGCACAGGCCTAAGTAGGGTCCTAATAACCAACCTTCACCAAGAGCCTGCTTGGTACTGAGCCCTGCGCACTCACGCTCACTGTTATGGACATAGGAATCAAATGAGGTCTCTGCTTCCGAGGCTTATAGTGTTTTGGAGGCTGACAAATCATTCTAGTAAAAGGGGTTACGTGCTGTGGAAGATATTTGTGTTGAGGGAGCACAGAGGAGCCAGCAGCTAATTAACCAGGGGAATCAGAGCAGTTTTAAGTACTGATGTTCAAGCGTTGTCTCGAGGAATGTACAGAGGCTTGTTAGGTAGACCTGTGGGAGAAAAGGGATTCCAGCAGAGAAGGGCATGAGTAAAGGCAAAGAGGCGAGGGTGAGCATGGCATATCTGGGAGATAGGGAGAATATCAGTGTGCCGAGCCATGCGTACGCAGCGTCAGCAGGGAGGCCGGACCGATGGGCCAGGGCCAGCTCATGTGGTGCGCTGAATGCCAGGATGGGGTGGGGTTTTTCTTTATAGGTAGCCTAGAGCCATCAGGTAACAATGGTGCTTCAGGAAGAGACCTCAGTTGCCTGTGTTATGTGGATCAGGTAAGAAGAGGGAGAGATGGAAGTTCCAGACACCACATAGGAGGTTACTGTTGATGGTCCAGTAAGGAAAAACTGAATTACGAGGATGGAGGGGGAGAAGTAGAGAAGAAATTCTGAGATCTGAATCTACAGATGATGGTAGGGAACCAACTTGTTATTGGGTGGTGGAGAGGGTAAAGAAAAGGGAGGAGATGAGCCCCAGTAAGGTTTCCATTTTTAGCAGCTGGTAAGTGGTGGCGTGCTAAAGCCATTAAGAGGGCAGAAGGAAGTTCTGAGAAGAGCTGACCAGTTCAGTTAGGTATGCTGAGTCTGAAGTGCCTGAGGGACACCCAGGAAGGTGGCTGGGAATATCGGTCCAAGAAGTAAGAGAGAAGATCAGCCAGTAGCATAGCACAAGGGGTTAGAGCTGGCTTGGAAGTCCTCTGGCTTTGCTTTAAATCTGAGCTCTACATTTGTGAGTGGTATGCCCACTGACAGGTGGGCCTGTCTATGCCTTAGTTTCCTAATCATTGAGGCAGGACTCATCTTATCTAATTCCCAGCATTACTGAGAAGGTGAAACTAGACACAGACAACTTGCAGAAAGGGCTCAGATGATATTGCCACAGATAAAGTGCTCAGTATATGGTACTGTTTTCTGGGTCTGGTGTTGGCACCAATGCTGCAGCTTTAAAAAAAATACAGATGCCTAGACTCTAATGCAGCACTACTATAAAAATAAATGACCAGGGGGTATGGCCCAGACATCTGCATTTTTTACACTCCCCAGCAGAGTCTTCTACTCTATAGCCAGGGCTGAGAGCTACTGTGCTAGATCAGCAACTCCATGCTTGGGTCTACCTTGATCAGCACCAGATGCCCTGGCCTGGTACACAGTATGAACACAAAGTGAAAGGTAAAAGATCCAGCAGCTTCCAGCAAAGGGGTGAAAGAATTAGAGGCGGCAGGGAGCCAAGGATGTGCCATCCTGGGAACTCTGCCTGCTTGGCCGAGCTCCCAAACAAGAACCACATCTGACACAAGGTCAAGTCACAGCTATGGCATTGGACTGGGGCCCTCACTCTTCCTGCCATGGCCCCTGTGTCAGGTCTACTTCACAGAAAGCTCCACTCCTCAGTGGGCACCCATGAGATACCACAATCAGGGAAGTCAGTGCAACATCAGAAGAACAGAAACTAAGACTGTCCCCACATCCTGCATGAGCCCAGAGTGAGGTGGGCAAATTCAGATAGAGCACCCCTGGCTTCCCCAGAGTGGGACTGATGGATTACAACAGGCCAAATGAGGGGTTCCCAGGGTAGAAGCGATGAAGACTGGGTGTCAGAACCTTTCCTATAAAAGAATTCTGGGAAGAGAAGAGCCACTGAAGAAATGGAAAAATCTTTAAGTGCTGGAAATGCAAGGGAGCTGTGGTTCTGTCTTTCACTAAGAAATTGACTTACAGTGGATTAAGATTCCAGCTAAGAAAACTGCACAGATAAATCAACCAACAACTCTCTCCTGAAGGTCTACACCTGAAGGTCTACACCACGCCGAACACTGTGGGAAGTACAAAGAAGTGATGGGAGCCCAGGCCTCAAACAGCTGGTGGGTGGACAGGTGCAGACGCAGTGAGGCTGCTGAGGCTGAGCACCTAGTGAAAGGCATGGCCACCAATGCATCAGGAGCTAAGGGGAGGCAGGACTGAGAGAGCGGATCCTAGGAAGGCCAGGAGGATCCTGGTGGATACCAAGCAGGGGAGGGGCACCTGGGAGGAAAATCAGTTCAAGTACAGACCCAGAGGTGGGCCTACAGATCTCCTGTCGTCTCTGCTCTTCACGTGGCTCTTTCCTGGGTCCCAGCCCTTCCCCTGCTAGGCCTCTACTTCTCCTGCCTCACGAGGACCTATTCACTCCTGAGATGGGCAGCACTTGGCTGACCTGTCATTCAGAGCAATGACACGCTTCCCCGCTGAGGATGAGGAGCCAAAGGCTCACAAGGAGCAGGAGACAAGGAGGCGATGAGAAAGCCTGAAGGACCACTTGTCCACATGCAAGCGCACCTCAGTGCTGTAGGCTCAGACTGAGAGTGGGGTGGTGATGAGGTCCTTTATACTCTTTCAACTCTCTAAAGTGTTTCATTACTTTTTTTTTAAGTTAAAAAAAGTAGAAAAAAAATCTGGTCTGCACAATGTAGTCAGATGTCAGAAAAGCCTATGACAGAAAGTTTAAAAGTAAACGCATTTTGGAGGGCAAGGACCACATGGTATAGTTTTGGACATTAAATATGCCATAAAAATACACAACTATTGACACAGGAAACATCTATAACAGATTATATATATACATACATACATATGAATAAGAAAAAAGAAAAAAAATGTGTGGTGGTACATGTTTGTAATCCTAGCTACTTGGGAGGCCAAGGTGGGAGGATAACTTGAGGCCAAGCGTTTGAGAACAGCCTGGGCAACACAGTGAGACCCTATGTAGGAGGATCACAGGTACTTTTAATTTTCTTGACTATATTTATTAAATGTTCTATTAGAAACATGTGGCTTTTGCAAAAAGGAAATAATCCATTAAAAACAAGCAAAAACAAAAACAAAAACAAAAACAACCTTAAGGAGGAGCCATCCAAAGTAGGAATATGATCAACTTTCCTGAGGCTTGTAACCAAAATGTCATTATTGTCTCACCTTGAAACATCCAACGGGCCACCAGTGAGGCACTGGTGAGGCGCCAGGGTCTGGAAGGTTTCATGAAGGCCAGGCAGAGCCCAGACCACACGGCATGAGTGGATTTCCAAGAGGGCCTGGGAAGGGCACTGGTGCAGGCAGAGGACAGGGTCTCAAGCCCAAAAGGCCTTATTTTTCGTTCTCTTTTCTTTTCTTTTTTTTTTTGAAACAGGGTCTTGCTCTGTTGTCCAGGCTGGAGTGCAGTGGCATGATCTCGGCTCACTGCAGCTCTGACCTTCCAGGCTCAGGTGATCCTCCCACCTCAGCCTCCCAAGTAGCTGGAACTACTGGCATGAGCCACCATGTCCAGTTAATTAAAAAAATTTTTTTTAGAGACAGGGTCTCACTATGTTGCCCAGGCTGGTCTTGAACTCCTGGACTCAAGCGATCCTCCTGCCTTGGCCTTCTGAAGTGTTGGGATTACAGGGGTGTGAGCCATTGCCCCTAGCTGCTTTCTCTTTCATGTAAAAAGTAATTGAGTTTGGGCAACTGTGTGACTTTTTGTGGATACTAAAACCAGAAAACCAAAACTAGAAGTTACTATTGTTATGTGTATAAGAGAAAAAGTGCAAAGGGACATGCTTTCCCCCAAGGAGATGAAGCAACGAGGCTTGAGTTTTCCTAAATTATGG